TCCAATGAAGATGGGTGTGATGGTGCACACCTGTAACCCCAGTGGTTCAGGGGTCTGAGGCCCAAGATAATGTAGAAAGACCCTGACTCAAAAGGAAGAATCTAAAAGGGGCCAGGGTTGTGGCTCAGTGGCTAAGCACCTCGGTGTTCCATTCCTGATACCAAAAAACACACAGATAACATAAACCTGCCAAGTCCAGACAACAACACTACTGTCATTCCTGTCATATTCATGAGCTTGTCAACGACTGTAACTAATTAACATAAAATCAAATTCATAAGTTTATCCACCACAGTTTTTGTAGAAATGAATTCATTTCCTGCAGCAATAATGATAGACAGAGTTTCTCTGTATCTTAAGTGGCATTCTGGAATCTAGGACATGGATTTCAATTGGAAATCATTGAAAAGACAAGATCAAATCTAACAAATTTCTATGCAATCTCAGGGGTAGCAAAAGATAAATTAGATGCATTTATTTTTTGTTGTTGTTGTTTGTTTGATTGTTTTTCTGTTCTGTTCTTTTTCTTTGGTTTGGGATCAGAGATTAAACCCAGAGGAACTTTACTGATGAGTCACATCCCCAGACATAAGGCCTGGCTAAGTCGCTAAGGCTGTCCTCAAGTTTGCAATCCTACTGCCTCAGCTTCTGGAACAGCAAGGATCACAGGTGTGCACCACTGTACCTGGCTGTAATTGTTTTCACAATGGAAATGTAACTAGACTTTTTAAAATCCACTTCTTTCTTGCCTATTTAATAATAGTCCTTCCCATTTGGCTCTGAAAAAAATAGACCTGGGCCTCAAAATGTGAGCAGATCATTGCAAAGTGATACACAGAAAGCTTTGGTGCTGAGGGAGCACACGTGTGTCAGGCTCAAGGGGCAGGGAAGGTCCCTGACATCTGGGACATAACCTCTCCTGGTCTTGCTTCCTGAAAGCCTCTAGAATCACCCTCCCAGGGACCTAGACCATGACTCCAGTCTACGAGGCTTTTCAGGTTTGCACAGCTCTGCACTGGGGTGGGTGTTGCTTATGCTCTGGGAGAGGTTTTGCTCCTTCACACTGTGAGACTAAAAGGGCAGGAATCACTGGTGACCTGGCCCCTCAGCACCAGCATCCACAGGCTGACTGGCCACCTCTCTCCAGGAAATGGGAACAGCTTTGGTCCCAAGGAAGTAGCTGTCTAGATGAGGGCTGTTCCAAGAGATTCCTCAGCCCAGAGCCCCCAGCAGCTTCCCTGAGAGGCTGCACCCCACACCTCAGGCTGTCCTCTAGGAGGAGCTGACCCAGGGCCTGAAGTTCTGTTCACCCTGCAGGGACCAGGGCAGCTGTGGGCACCTTGGGGCAGCTCCAGGAGAGGACAGTGGCTGAGGACATGGGACACTGTGAGGCGTCCAAAGGGAACCTCTGCCCAAAAAATCTGACATGGTGTCTACACCTAAGGAAGATAAAAGGAGAAGCACAAGGCTTTTATAGCTGGAAACTCAAGTTCTCTATACAGTTGCATCTACATCAAAGAACCTTCAGAGTACTTGACTTGGCTAACCAGACCACCATGAGGGTGGAAAGGCAGAATTCTGTATGGAGAGCAGAAAGTATCTTGGGCTATCTTAAGCCCTTTAATAGCCAATTATCTTAATTTCTGTATCAGACCACAATTCTCAAAACTATTAAATTTCTCAGAATATATCACTACCCTTACCAGACATCTAGTCCCCACCGTCTACCAAAGTAAGAATGTAATAAGAACAGTCAGAAGAGATTTTTTTTTCTTCCTTCCTTTCTTTCTGTAGCCCACCAATCTGATGATCCTACCAATGCAATTGGTTAATGTAGTGATACACAGTTTCTTTTATATAAGTTCATGTAGGCCAGGCACTGTGCCACATGACTGTAATTCCAGTAGGTTTAGAGGAAAAGGTAGGAGGATTGCTAAATTCAAAGTCAGCCTCCGCAAGTTAGTGAGACCATAAGGAACTTGATGAGATCATGTCTCAAAAAACAATCTAAAAAGAACTGATTGTAGCTCAGTGATTAAGTGTCCCTGGGTTTAATCCTTGTCTTTCAGGGTGGGACAGACACATCATTTAGGGTCACTTGAATCCATGTTCCTGAGTATGATAATTAATATTTAAATCAAAATGAACAATTTTCCATAGCTGGGATTGCCAAAGCCTTTAATGTTAACACCTTGAGAAACTGAAGCAAGAGGGTCAGGACTTACAGGCCAGGCTGGGCAACACAGCCAGACCCCATCTGAAAATCAAATTTAAAGAGTTGGGGATTAAGAACAGAAGAATGAATCAAACACTATTATCCTATGTAGAAATATGACTACAGGACTGGTGTGAATCCACATCAAGTACAACCAGAAAAAGGAGCAGTTACACTCCATTTATGTGTACTGTGTCAAAATGCATTATAATGCCATGTATAACTAATGAAAAACAAATTTAAGTAAATAAATGATCTATGTCAAATTGGGTCAGGGGGGCTTGGAAAATAATCCAAGATTCAATATCCCTAGGTTCTATAAACAAATGCTTTTTTCCTTTTAAAGTAATTATTTTGAACAAACACAGGGAACTATTAAGTGATTATTCTTTCCCCTCAAGTATAATATTCACAAATAGAAAACAAATGCTTTCAAAAGTGTTCTTCTTACCAGGGACAGTGGCACAGGCCTTGTTAGAATGGCCTTAGGCCTGAGCCTAAGCAACTCCATTTAAAAGACCTGCAGTTCACCAGGCACATCCACAGATCCCTCCAGTAAGGCCTCAAACAAGTTCCTTCCCCTCACCCTGATAAAGAGAGTGAAGCCTCTGGCAGGCCGTTCTTGCCTGATAAGAGGGAAAGACAAGAAGATCGGGGTGGAGTTGACCCCAGGGTAAAGGATGTCACTGAGAAATAGGGTGATAGCTGATAAGGACTGAAAGTGTGATCAAAAGCCCCCAAATTTAGTATAAATAATAGAGCTGATGAACAGGAATTTAGCCAACAGAAACAAGGATGCATTTGACCTGAAGAGCCTGATGAGAATCTGATATCCCATCACTTGGCATCTTTCCTGAGTCTCTGTATGATCCTCACTGCTCTCAAACTCTACTGTCTCCTCTGGACCTTGGTGAAAGCTGCAATTCCTCCCTAGGACCCCCTCCTCAAAGGGTCCTCTGCTCCACACCAGGAAAAGCCTGCCTTGGTTCCAGACCTGGTCACCGAGGTCTGAGTGACTGTGCATCTGCTGGATTCAAAGCCTCAGACATAAGATATTTGAACTTAGCATGCAGAGGAAATGTCTGTCATTAGCTTATCATGATTAAGTGTGTTTTCCAGTGCTTAGAATGAATCTAGAATTGTTTGCTGTGAATTAATTAACCTAGAATTGTTTGCTGTGAATTGATTATATCTATGGCAATGCCTAGCATTAAGGATTGTTGTTTTCTTGATTAAGAACCTATACAGTTAGGGCTTGGGATGTGGCTCAAGCGGTAGCGCACTTGCCTGGCATGCGTGCAGCCCGGGTTCGAACCTCAGCACCACATACCAACAAAGATGTTGTGTCCGCCGAGAACTAAAAAATGAATATTGAAAATTCTCTCTCTCTCTCTCCTCTCTCTCACTCTCTCTTTAAAAAATAAAAAAAAAGAACCTATACAGTTAAACTGTATTGAGTAATTTGAGTGAATAGAGCATTGAAAGGGGAAGAAGTGTGTGGACATTCTTTATTTTTCCCCTTGACTGCATAAATCACAGTTTTGCCCCCTCCACACAGCCCAGTAATCCCAGGAACTTTGGAGGCTGAAGCAGAAGTGAAGCCAGATTTACAGATAGGTAGTTAGGCAAATTGGGTCTAATATTGTGTAAGATAAATAAAACAGAGGCCCTTATAGGGAATGGAGTCCTGGAAACCAGAGCAGCAATTGAAATGTTA